AAAGGTCTGCCTTTGATTTGTATTGAAATCATTTTTGAGATTGTATCCCAGTAGAGCTTTTCCTACTCCTTTGTTCACTATGAGGGCTACTCCATTTCTTCTACGGGATTCTTGCTCACAATAGTAGATACGATAATCGTCTGAATTGAATTTGCCCAAACCCGTCCATTTTAGTTCACTGACATTCAGGATGTCAATGTTTATTCTTGTCATCTCCTGTTTGACCACATCCAGCTTACCAAGGTTAATAGATCTTACATTCCAGGTTCCTATGCAGTATTTTTCTTTGCAGCATCGGACTTTCCTTTCACTTCCAGGCGCGCCCGCAGCTGAGTGTCCTTTTGGCTTTGGCCCAATCATTTCATTAGCTCTGGAGCTACTTGTACGTGTCCTCCGGTCTTCCTCAGTAGCATGTTGGATGCCTTCCGACCTGAGGGGCTCATCTTCCAGCATCATATATTTTAGACTTTTGTTTCTGTTTTCTTGGCAAAGATACTGGAGTGGCTTGCCAGTTCCTGCTCCAGGTGGATCGCGTTTATTCGGAACTCTCCACTATGACCGGTCCGTCTTGAGTGGCCCTGCATGGCATAGCCCATAGCTTCTCTGAATTACTCAAGCCCCTTCGCTACGACAAGGCAATCCATGATGTCTTTTTACTACCAGGCAATGACCTTTCTCTTCGGACATGTTTTTGGCAACAGAACACACTTCAGAATAGAAGTGTTCTTAGGAAGAGATTTGCATTTTAAAAAATAGTGGTTTTGGATGTGTATGTTTTTGCTTCTCATGTTTCTAAACTGCTTTAAGTGAATGGTCGTTCAGTCCTAGTATTAGTATGCTTTTAACTGTGTTTCCCAGGCCTGATCAGGGTCAGGACCTTAATTTACGCAACAGAATTTTGCCCGTTATGAAATGAAATAAATGAATAATAATATTGTTGAAATTTAGGCTTTCAACTGAGACTTCAAATGAGATCATACTCCCTGAAGGGCTAGGGGGTGCTCATAGATTCAGTGCTGTCTATACAGATAACAGATGTACATTATTTATAGATAATTAAGATAATGTCAACTGCTAGTAATGCTTTTGAGCTACTTATGTTGATTCAGCAGTTTAGGATCTATTTAGAGACAGCTAACCCAGCTTCAATTAAACATGCCTTTGCTACATCCAGTTTAGTTTATAGTATTGTAATATACTCTGTGTGGCTGCGAAACTATGATATATGTGCCCCACTGCCAGAAGTAACCCCTGCATTCAACACAGTCTTCATATAGACAAAAGTACTGACTCTGACCTCGGAATCAAAAGCTGATTCATAAAAGAAACTGCCACATTATGGTTTAAAATCTTTGCACTTCAAAGTCCATCCTATGGTTACCTGATAGATGGGTAATCATCAAGCAATCGGTTGCATATTCATGGAAACATCACTTTCAGAGTTTATTACTTGTGTTAACAATGATATAGTTACTTTGGGATTTCACTTTCTGTACCTACATCCATGTTCTATACTGTGTCTCCATGTGTACAAGGTACAACCTGTGACTAAATATTTTACTCCATATGTATGAGAAAATGGATCACAATTCACAAACAATTAAAACTGAAATAATAATTGAAATAATTACGTTAGTTTTTAACAGCTTACTAGCCTGAATACAGTGGCGCCTCGACTTACGAACACCCCTACCTACAAACATTTCGACTTATGAACAGCTCCGCTCACAAAATTTTGCTTTGACTTGCGAGTGGAGCTTCGACCTAAGAACAGAAAAAGGCAGGGGAAACAGGCGGGAAATTCAAACCGTTGGTAGTGAAGAGGCTGCTTCTTTGTAGCTCTTTCGCCCCAACAGCTGGAGCAGGGCGTCAGGGAACATTTTTAGTCCTGCGAGGCAGGAGGAGGAAGGAGAGGTGCTCCAGATCGCTGCCGGGCGCAAGAAGCCAGTGTGCTCCCTGCCCATCCCTGGGGCGGGTCTTACTAAGTCAAGTAAGGCCCAACGAAGGCATGGGTCTACTCATGAGTTAGGACCACCAAATGCATGGGTCTACTCATGAGTAAGGGCCCCCAAGGCCATGGGATGGGATGGGGCGTGTGGGTCAGAGGGGCTCCTCCATGGACGGGGCGTGCAGTGGCGGCGCAGGAGGAGGAAGTAGAAGCGGGGTGGCTCCAGTTCACTGCTGGGCGAGGGAAGCCGGTGTGCTCCCTGCCCATCCCTGGTGCAGGCCTACTCATGAATAAGGCCCGCCAAAGGCATGGGTCTACTCATGAGTAAGGGCCGCCACCTCGGCTGCCCTACGCACCAGCCAGGGCCTGTCGCTGGCCGCCATCCACTGGGGAGGGAGTGCCATCGGAGGAGGCTTCCATCTGCCTGGTAAGGTGCTGCTTTTTGCTTTTTAGAAATTTCTGGGACGGTTTTGCAGGGTGGGTTTCAGCTGATGGGGTTATATTTCTGTGCTGTGTTGTTTTTTTTGGGGGGGGATTGCAGCCTTCGGGGCTTGCTTGGGGGGGGGGATTGCAGCCTTCGGGGCTTGCTCTGTTTATTTTTGGTTGTTTAGCCCCAGTGCCTTCCAATGGGGCTTTCTGTGTGCTTTAAACTTTTTGTATTTTTTTGAAATGCTGAAACGGATTAATCCCGTTCCCCTGCATTTCAATGGTAAATGGTGCTTTGACTTACAAAAATTTCGAGTTACAGTCACCATTCCAATACGGTAAGTCAAGGCACCACTGTACTTCCTTAGATTTTGAATATCCTTACACTCTTTCCAGCTCATGAAGGCAAGATCCCATCACTTACTGCTTATCATAGAGCTGCAATCTATTTGTTATATGTGTGATCTGTACAGATCACAGTACTTAAAAAACATTTATGGAAGCTAGATGCTTTGTTCATATTACATCTATCTTATATTAGTTATGATGGCTGCCCACATTAAATTAAAGGTGCTGATCTGGAATTTTAAAGCTCTAAATATCTTGGGATGTGCTATCTTAATAGCACATCCGAAGATATTTAGAGCTTTAAAATTAAGAAAGGCCTACACATGTATGAGCCTACCCGTGTATCAAAATACAGTACTGTACCTGGATCACCAGTGAGATATGTTGGCCAGAATCCTGCTGGTATTCTTGTAAGGTTTAAGTAACTTGTCATGGAAAATTGGGGCTAATTCATAAGGTACCAGGATGTATTTCAGTCATGGGCTTTGTTATGTACCTGAGCAGCTGAGATACATGCAAGTACTTTTGTCAATTACCTAGAATTAGTTACAGCTAGTTAAGCAAACCTAAGGCAAAACCCCAAGATGATTCTGGTAAAGGAGAGATAATATTTTCTCATCAATGGATCCACACTTTTTGGAACTCCCTTTCCAAGATTCTATGTGCAGCCTTATCACTATTGGTCTTTATGTGCTGAAGACACAAGTACCCCACTCAGGAACTAGCAAAAATATGAGGAATAGGAGGCTAACCATTGTCATCTGCTGCAGCAAAAATAGCATGAAGTTTTATGCCAAACAAATCTTGTGAGTCTTTATGAAGATTGCTACTTCATTGTAAAAAAAAAAGGGGGGGGTTGCTAGTCCTTAAGATGTCAAAAAAGACTCTTTGTTAAAAGAAAATGATACTCAGTATGTAATTTTATGTTCATGTTTTTCTAATCATTCAAATTGCTTTATGAAAGGAGTGCAAGCTGAACAGAGATTAAAAATCCTTCCAAATAAATGTATACATGGCTAACTTTTTAATGCTTTTTAACACAGTTACAATTAAAAGAATAAATATCACGGTTTTATTATGAATTAATATTAAAAAAATACTCACCTCCGTCTATAATTGCAATTGGGACAGTCAGAGATACTCAGTTGTGATGACAACAGATGTCTCATTGTTTCTGTGAAGTTACTGTCTCCAGATATTTCTTTCTTGCTATTTAACTAGAATTAGTGAGAACGTAAATAAGTATTGCAAGTTTATATTAATGTAATTATAATCACAGTTAATATACCAGCATAAAAACATGTAGGCTGAGGTCCACTGGATACTTGTGCAGATATTAGTAGTACCATCAACTAATCCAGAAAGAAGAGATTTCCTTCTCCTTGCAGTGCTGACAGCAAGACTTCTTCCCTTTTGTCTCTTCCCCACCAGACCTTTCTAACCCTCCCGAATTCTGCTCTGAAGGGCTTCCATCCCTCTAAAATGGATATAAGAATGTACATGCTTTTTTAAAAAGGCCTCTCTTTTGATTCCCTTTCTTTCAGGTCAAGTACCCATCTGGATCTTGGCCTCTCCTAAAATTATAACTTCAAATTTAAACAACAAAATTTGAAAAAAAATACTGTTTTATATCTATATTATGCCAGATTGAAAAGCCCTTTCAAAATACTGAAATTAGAAGTAGCAATGATAATCATGTGCTGTCAAGTCGATTCTGACTTGCAGCAACTCTTTTCAGGGATTTCCAGATACAGAGTATTCAGAAGTGGATTACCATTCCCTTCTCCCGGGAGTGTCCTAGGACTATGCAACTTGCCCAAGACCACACAGACTGGTTGTACTTGCAAGGAATACACTATCTAAAACATTTCCCTCCTTAGGGAAAAAAATAAGAGTCTCATGACACAGTGGTTAAACTGCATTCCTGCAGCCAAAATTCTGCTCACAACCTGGGTTCAATCCCAAGAAGCTTGTTTGAGGCTGACTAAGCCTTCCATCCTTCTGAGGTTGGTAAACTGAGTACCCAGCTCGTCAGGTGTATGTATCTCGCACACTTAAATTATAAACTGCCAGAGAGTGCTTTAAGTGCTATGGGATAGTATATAAGTACCATACTTTACTTTTTTGCTTTTGGTCTCAGAAGTATGTAAATTATCATTTACTTCCTCATTTAATGTGAACAGAAACTGCCTGCAGATAAAATGCCCTAATCAACAATCTTGCCCACACTTCTCTATCCCTAAAGATACACTTGTGATCCCCATTTTGAAGTCTTCAAAGCTTGGAGTATCCCACTGGCAATGCTCTTGGATCCTCAGCTTAAGTGGCTGAACATTACATGACTGCACTGGTGGTCTTCAGAGATTTAATTCATGTAGCCTACTCTAGAGCTGCCATAGAAATATAGGTGGAAGCTTATAAATGCAGCTCTGGTGTAGAATCAGTTCCAGTCATATGGAATCATCTCTTTGTGTTTGGCTCTGTTGACTGCATCTACTGCTTTTATGTGCCATCAAGCTGCTTTTGACTTATGATGACCTTACAACCTCCAATATATCCTGCCATTCATAGCCCTTCTCAGGTTGACCAAAGTAAAGGCCATGGCTTCATTTACTGAGTCAGTCCATCTAATGGTAAGCCTTTTCCTTTATAATATATAATAATAATCTGAGAACTGCAGAGCTGGAAGGGACCCCATGGATCATCAGTCTTTGTAAGGGAAACACAGTGGGGAATCAAACTCCCAATCTCTGCCTCCACAGCCAGATATCTAAGCTACAGAGCTATCCAGCAGTTCACTGCTGCCTTGATACTTTAGCATCCCTAAACTAGGTGTAAATTTCATTTTGATTTCTTAGATTTTATGGAACGGGTCCTTTGTTTGTCTTTTTTTGCTTTTCTCTTCTATTTCTTTAATTTTTGTTTTGCTTTTCATCTGTTGTTAATTTTAAGAATTTCATCAGTCTCCCACTGCAGGTTTTCCTTTCTTTTAACTACAGCAATGGCCTTTCTCCCTTCTTCCTTGATATATTATCTGGTACCAATCCAAAGGTCTTCTGGTTCATGATTATTTGAGATTGGAAATGCAAATATTTTCCTTATGTGGACTGTAAATTCAGCAGAAATGCTACTTAAACAATATTTTAACACTATGGTTGTGTTAAGAGTTTTTTAATAGCTTTACTCCGATTGTTGATATTAACAGTTCATGGTTTGTACCACTGTCTATTCCTGGTCCGGTTCTTGCAAAGATAACAGTGCTTCCCCATTTCTCTTTCTGGTTACACTGTCTATTTGATATGTGCATTGGCCATCTGGTGGCATCTATGTGTAAAATTGTCTCTTAGGTTGCCTGAAGCATGTGTTTGCAATAACCGGATCGTTAGCTTCATATAATTCTATGAGTTGATCTACTTCATTTCTAACTATTAGAACAAACTGCAGAACTAAGTCTGGTTCCGCTTTTTTCCCAACTTTAGTGTCCCAGTCACCTATCATTACCAGAACATCTTGTTTTGGTATACAGTTGTGTTCAAAATTATTCAACGCCCAATGCTGTAAAGGGGTTTAGGGACTATAGTGTACTGTACATTTGGAATTGTATTCAGAATGAAATCCTACAAGGACGTTTTAAAGAACCAAATGCAACTAAAATAACATCAATTGTTTATGTAATACAGTAGTAAATGTTTCTTTTGTGGTTTCTTCATTGCCACAATTATTCAACCCCTTAAAGACTACCACTCTGAAGAAGAGAGGTTCATTCAGGTGTTTTCGATCAGGTATTGAAAACACCTGTGGATGTCACCGAGCACCAATCAAGCATAATAAGCACCAATTAGGCAGCTTTAAAATGACTGTGATACTCAGCTCCTTCTAGACATTTACTGGTGTGGTTACAAACATGGTGAAGTCAAGAGAATGGTCCAGGAAGACAAGAGAAGAGGTGATTTGTCTTCACAGGAAGGGCAATGGCTATAAGAAGATTGCAAAGAAGTTAAACATACCAAGAGACACCATAGGAAGCATCATTCACAAATTCAAGGCAAAGGGCACTGTTGAAATGCTACCTGGTCGTGGAAGAAAGAAGATGCTGACTTCGACTGCTGTGCGCTACCTAAAGCATAGAGTGGTGAAAAGTCCCCGTGTGACTGCTGAGGAACTGAAAAAAGATTTGTCAGATGTGGGTATAGAAGTTTCAGCTCAGACAATAAGGCGCACACTGCGTAATGAAGGTCTCCATGCCAGAACCCCCAGGCGCACCCCCTTGCTGTCTCCCAAGAATAAGAAGAGTCGACTGCAGTATGCCAAAAGTCATGTGGGCAAACCACAAAAGTTGTGGGATAGTGTTCTGTGGACTGATGAAACAAAATTAGAACTGTTTGGGCCCATGGATCAACGCTATGTTTGGAGGAGGAAGAACAAGGCATATGACGAAAAGAACACCTTGCCTACTGTGAAGCATGGCGGAGGGTCAATAATGCTTTGGGGCTGTTTTGCTTCTGCAGGTACAGGGAAGCTTCAGCGTGTACAAGGTACCATGAATTCTCTTCAGTACCAGGAGATATTGGATGGAAATGTGATGCAGTCCGTCACACACCTGAGGCTTGGGAGACGTTGGACCTTTCAACAGGACAATGATCCCAAGCATACCTCCAAGTCCACTACAGCATGGTTGCAGAGGAAAGGCTGGAACATTTTGGAGTGGCCATCACAGTCACCAGACTTAAATCCGATTGAGAACCTCTGGTGGGACTTAAAGAAAGCAGTTGCAGTGCGCAAGCCTAAGAATTTGACTGAACTGGAGGCTTTTGCCCATGAAGAATGGGCGAAGATACCCGTAGATCGCTGCAAGACACTTGTCTCAAGCTATGCTTCACGTTTAAAAGCTGTTATAACTGTAAAAGGATGTTGTACTAAGTACTAAGATTGAATGTCACTTGGGGGTTGAATAAAAACTAATAATGATGTGAGCACAGAAAAGACATTTGTGGTTATTTCATTATAAACTTAAGGTTATATTTCTCTGACCTACAAGTGCCTCTTTCATGTAAATGTAAGCAAGACGACTGAATGATCAAAATCAATGTCAAAATGGCCAAAACATCCAATTTCAGTGGGGGTTGAATAATTTTGAACACAACTGTAAACAGTAATAGAAATTCCTAAGGACTTCTAGGGTTTTGCTTCTTCTCCCCAGCACTGGTAGTTAGAACACAGATTTGAATGACAGTCACTTGAACATAGCTTTCCATGAAGTCTGACCGACATTATTCAATTAGAGTATGACTATAGTTCTTAACTGCTTATACAGTGGTGCCTTGCAAGACGAATTTGATTCGTTCCACGGTTAATGCTGTCTTGCAAAACACTTTTTCCCATAGGAATGCATTGAAAACTAATTAATGTGTTCCTATGGGCAAAAAAAGTCAGAACAAAGTCAAATTTGGTTTACAAAGGGTTTATTAAGTGCTCTTTAAAGCCATACATATTGTGCAGACGATTTAAAAAATTTCAATTAAAAAAACTTTAACTTTTTAAACATCATAGAAAAACATTTAAAAATCAGCAAACATGAGGCAGGAACAACAAAAAAAACAAAAACGGAAAACATTCATCTTGCGAAGCACGGCCATAGGAACATTTGTCTTGCGAGTCATCAACCACCACCACCACCCCCGTTGCCAAAACCATTTGTCCTGCGAGTTTTTTGTCCTGCAAGGCATTTGTCTTGCGAGGCACCACTGTACTATGTCTTTATTCCCTAATAGAGCTACATTGTTTTTGATTAGATGTTTATTTCCAGAGTAAAACACTTAATAATTATCTGACTGGATATGTTCTGTTCTAGTCCACTTTAGTTCACAAACACCAAACACTATGATCTTTAAACATTCCATGCTTTTTTTTATAGTTTTGATCAATGTTTCCTCTAAGCCGTGTGCACATGCTGGCGTGCATGACTCCACCTCCCTCCGTGCAAGCTCTTTTCCTCCTCCACACAGTGATCACATTCAATTCCTTTGGTTAATAACCATTCACAAATGACCAAAGAGTAATTTGGCTTTGGCATATGTAACCCTCTGCTTTGTTCATGAACATTAAGACTATTGTAACTGCCATTTGAAGTCTAGCTAACAGAGACCCTGTATACTGACCTCTAGATTATCTGTGCCAAAATAATTGTCTTCAGAATGCCTTGGAACATCCTGAAGTA